GCGGTCTGAACTAAGCGGGATTTTCTATATTGATTACTCCAAAGAGCAAGCATAAACGAAATAGTGGATATTTGTTGTCCATGAATTTTACGATTCTGCACACCAACTAAGATTTGCCTGCAAATCTCCCGGAATTTCCCTGGACACATTCCGGAGAACTGCAGTTTTACGCCATATTGATAAATCAGTTAAGCGTGAAAGATTGGTCCATTACTAATGCATCACGCAATATATCAGGGGTAAAGTAAGTTCCCGAGTCCACAGTGTTATGAGTTTTTCAGCCAAAAATGGCTATTCCACATTAATTTGGGTCCCGTTTGGAAATATAAATCTTATGATCTATCCCCTTTATAAAACTTTTTCCCTGTTATTTTCAACGACCTGCGCCAGGCTATTATTTTTAACCACCGAGGCCTTTGAAAATATCGTTGAGTTTTGCAAAGCTCGTGATTTGCTTAGTTATAAAGGGAGTTTAGTTGACATGACTGACCGAGTACAGGCAAACAGCAAAGATAGGTCCACACCCTGACAAACGACATTTTCTCTGAATGTACAGACACAAAGTGCACCTTTCCGAATTTCAGTAGACAAACTTTATCATCGTGCCCCATCGCTCAAGAAAATAATCTTAGCGAATACCAGAAAACTCGTTCTGACTGAGGCAGGTATGTGGATATAGTCAAGTTTTCAAAAAATTTGTGAGGCTCTACCATGATAATAGGGCTTCTGAATTAGTTGCTGAGATGAGTGACCTGCATTGGTGTGCAGGCAGTGAAAATCTGCGATAGAGGCGTAGAAAAGTGGGCATTCCCATAGGAACATGGAAGTTCGACTTTCGCGAACGATTATGTCCACCGCGTGCACCACAGAGTGCTGCATACCGTGCGGTGACTTGCACGTGAAGTAGTTTATAGTAATAGTGGATTTGCCCAGAATCTATCGCGCTCTCTCCACTCCCACCTAGCTGACCCAGGTAGCAAGAAACAGTCAGGACAACCGGAGGTTGGCTCGGGCGCAGACAAAGATAAACAGTCCGCCTGTGAATGTCACGCATGATCTGGCCGTCGCGCCAAGTTCCGGTTATCTGCAAACACCGGCGGCTCCGATCTCAAGTTCTTGAGCATCATAGAGACAATATTAGGGGGAACCGCATAGCCTGACTCTCTTTCCTCAAAGGAGCGAGTTGCTCAGTCAGTTGGCAGCCTATCAAGTCACAACTTTATCGTGTCGTGGGCGATTTAAAATTGTCATATTTACTACAGGGAAGAATGCGCTGAAGCGCCCGGGGGGTGAATTCTTCAGAAACGACCTCAGTCCTCCCCTTCCTCTCTCCTGCACAAGTTCACTGTCAGAACCTGTCACTCATTCGTCGCAGATAGGTAACTTACGCTCAGCTCATAAAATACAGTAGATGGGCTACCTCATGAAATGTCAACTGAAATTACGAAATGCAACTTCGTTTCGAAAAGATTAATTAAGTAGGGTTGTAACACTAATCAGTCTGCAGTATAGTTCTATAATCGTTCAGTGACATCAGGATACTGGCTTTCGGAAGAACTTCCTTCCGGCTGCATACAAAAACAACACTCTCTAAAAAATGACTGCTTATTTAGCATGCATTTTTTCTTTGATTTTCGATGTCCCTAAAAGTCCAATTACAGTTCATGGAAAACATGCATAAAAATATTCATTCTTCCGATCATTCGGTAGAAAATTACGTCTTCTTTCAATTTTATAAATGAAAGAGGGAAACAATTCGGTTTTAGAAAGTTTTTGATTGAGAGACCTTTCAATACTATGAAATGGCCGTTCATAAAACGTCATGTCTCTGCAAGTACTAATGTGGCTTCTAAAGATGACAATATGGATCAAATCTAATGCTAATCATGAAATCCATATTGTTATCTCTTAATATCGTAGAGGAATGTGTGGTTTTCCGAACGCGGAAAATACATGGCTTGTAGTTTGGATACCATGAATGCAAGTGTGAAGCCAGAGAGGGTGCAAAATTATTCGGGAAATGGAAACGTTTTTAAAAACCAATTAATACTCTTTCTTGGAATATAAAATTTAAAAAAACCTTATTTTCTACAGAATGAGCGGAAGAATGAATATTTTTATGCATGCTTCCCGTGAAATATAATTAAATATTAAAGGACATCGAAAAACAATTAGAAAAATGCCTGCTAATCAAATAGTCATTATTACAGAGAATAGTTTTGCATGCAGCCAGAAGAAAATTTTTCGGAAGCCGGCGTCCTGAGGTAAATGAAGTATTATAGAATTATACTGCAGACTGATTCGTTTTACAAACCTACTTAACTAATCTTTTCGAAACGAAAACGCAGTTCGGAATTTCAGTTCACATTCATGAGGTAAATTCGTGAAAACTCCTTAACGATTGAAATATCACAAATTTATTTTACCGGATATACAAAATGTGCTTTGCAGAATGGAAAATGCAAAACGCTTCGACTTCTCGCCTGATAACCCGGGTTTATTCGTCCGTCCTGCAAAACCTTAGAGCGCATTTGCGGATCACACGGCTTAATGGGTGGACTTACTGACAGACCGCACAGAAAATACGCGGTGATGAACGACCGTAAAGACAATACTGACCTGCTGACCTCCGTGCATTACCCAATTTCAAACCAGATGCTGCAGATCTATTGCGGCTAACAAGGCTACCAACGAATCTTTGAAGGTGCTGTTTTAATTGGAAACAGTCATGTGCAGTGACATGTTTCATCTATTTACTTACTTCCTCTTTCTTTACAGAGTTCCTTTGATCATGCGGCTTATCTCCGGCTTTCGTCAACCGCCCTAGGCAGCAAGGATTCCACGTGTCCCATTACTGCAACTGCCATCCGTAATAGTTCTCAAATTCTGGCCTTCTGAATTTTCGTCCCGTCAGGATCATCTTACCTCACTATTTCTCCCACTGAACACTGATTTGCTATAGTGCTTCTACTTCGTTTGGCAACACTAGTTCTGCTAAAAGCTCTGCCCACCCGGGACGTATCTTTAAGATGGACCTTGAGGATGTGGAAGAAATGTCTACCGACGAACTTGCCTTAGCACAGAATACAAGGCGGAAATCCACTCGCCGCAGTCTGCTACCAATCCCTGTGGTAAGTCATTCCAACAGGAGCAGTCCGAAGGTGCTTGTTCGTCGCCGAAGTCTGGGCTGGCCGCTGCATGGCATCTCAGTTTCCCCGCGTCCCTCGGTCACCATAGCCAGAAAATCTCTTGACATGCAGCCTGATTTATTTCGTGAACACCACAAAACGCCGGATCAGCTGAACAACTTTAAGCCGGCAAAGCCAGATTTGCCACCTCTGAACGACCAACCACCCTCCCAGGTTTCAGAGTGTCCAGTACTAGCTCGCGTCGATCAGCCTCCCTCCAAGGTCCCAGAGAACTCGCATTCAAGCAATCTAGTGGACCCCTGCGTATGCTCAGATCAACGGACTGTGGTCGGATCGGCTGAGGAGCTGTATGATCGTTACGTTGAAGAACTGAATGAATGGCCAAAATTCCTGTCAGGTCTTGAGGACCTCGCCAATCATCATGTAGAAGTCAATGCAATCTCGAATGAGGCTATAGACGAAAACCCTGTCCTTGCTCCTTTTTCTCGCTACCTGTACCCTGAATCACAGGGCTCTTTGACCAGTAACCCGACCGCCCTGCAGCAGCGTATTAGGAAGTTATACAGATTGTGCGTTTGCAGTTTGCTTTTGCTTAACAGAAGGAGAAAAGAGCAGCATCTGTTCATCTCTGGAATCAGGTCCGACTGGGAAGAATGGTGCAAAAGGGAACGTGTTAAACTCATGCCCTCTACGAGGAATACGGATAAGTTTCCCAAGAAAGAAATCTTCAGCCGGCTATCTTCACTGAGCGCTTTCAATGGTTCAGACCAGCTTTCGCCATAACGGTAAGCTCGTGGAATGTTCAGTACACTGTTTGAGGTGTTAGGACTACATAAAGCAGGGTTTCTTGATGTGCACATAACCACCCAGTCGAAAAATACGTAAAGCAGTAATGTGGGTGATTTCTTCTGGAGAATATTTCTTTCTAACGATAGCTCGGCTCACTTCACTAGCGTAATATCTTGCGACCACCTCTTTGACGTGCACTACTTTAAAAGTATACAATGGCAAGGAAAGTCCTTCTACATATCCGTCAAACACGAGTCTCCTTTCCTTCTAATTGAGGCTCTGACATTTATCGGTTTGGACGACTTACTCCCAAGTTATTCTCCATCGACTAGTGGACAAGACCACTTTCGCTACTGGAAAATATAGTTTTGGCCATCAACCGAAGATTTAGCCTTGTATTTATCTACCCCGATGTCTGGCTCATGTGAGGCATGGGACTCTCTTTCTCTCCATCACTGAGATGTGATTTGTCCGGGCCGTGTGCGGCACGTGTAGACGAACTACTTAGCTTTTCCGAATGATGCCGTCTTGACTTGGCATCATTACTGGAATGCAGCGCGTGTGGAAGTCGGAAGCGTGGTGGGTGCTTTGCTAAAAGCGACAGTACAGGTCACTGTCGCCTCAACGGGACAGTGATATCCCTCAGCGCTGGCGGCAATCTTTCAAACATCGAGATAAACTTTGCCCAGTGCTCTGGCACGCCTTAGCAGTAAACTGTCCCTGACTATGGCTATAGCAAAATATTTGGTATGTTCTGGGCTAGAATCAGTCTGAGATCTCTGTAAGACTGTCTCGTATTAGCTATAATCAGAAAACGGCTGACAGGTTACCAACCCCGGCCTTGTTAGCCGAAACATCACACGTCCACTTACATCCTCAAAACCAGAACATAGATCTTTCTCGATTGCAAATGGAACAATATAGAATTCTTTGCTGACGACATCCTTGCCAGCATGTATATTGTGTTCATGTAGACAGTCTTACAAGTTCCCGACCGTTACCTGAACTTGGGAAACGGGCCTCTTCCTAACCAAAAAGAATATACTGTATGACTGAAAAAACCGCATTAATTCCAAATGAAGTCACTCGGTGTAGTTTTGCCAACTATCTACCAAGAGCACGCAAGCTACCTTTCCGCAGACAGCTGAAATATCATTCTAGCAATGCAAAATTCACAGTTTAGAAAGTACCTCACATCAAATCTATTTTTTTTTATAAATAAATCGCACACAAGCTGTATAACTGAGTCATGTGTCTGCCATAGATAATAGTTAAAACCCAGGCGCCTGCATACCTGCGTTTACAGAAGTGATTGGTAGATTGAGCGGTAGTATTCGCGTTAAAGATAACAAGCGAAGTGTAACTGCGATTCAAGAGACAAGATATATAAGTACACCGTCACCAAACCAACCCCCCCCCCACTCTAGGGAGAGAAGCTCTCTGATCATTTTAATTAATGATAGACACGAATTCGGGAATTGTTAATGAAACTGGAAGGAACGAAGAGTTAGAAGAAAATACCGCAAAATAATCTATCAAATTTTGATGGAGAGACATTACAATGGCACGTCAGACAAAAGAAATAACAGTGACATCGTTAAGCGTTCCCCACGATACTATCAATGCAAATTAACACTTATTTATACAGCGAAGATGCGCACAGACGTGTTGGCCTAAAATTCTTCTTGAAGTAACCAACTCTAAATTTGAATTTTGGAGATCTATGCATGTACGTATATTTAGTATATAGAGTCATTGACTTTCGTCGAAGTTTGACGATTCATACATAACGCATATTATCGAAATATCCGCAAATTCCAGATTGAGGGGTTTTTAGATAAAACGGCGAACCTTGGACAGGGCAGTTCAAACGGAGTGAATGCAAAGCCCAAGGGGCCTCAGGGAATCCGGGCGTTTAAGGGGTGAAATTCATCAGAAAAATAACTGGTTTGGGTAGATAAGGAAGGGCAGAACAGGTTAATTATGACATTAGGGTACACTTATAACTAGCGATATGCAAGTAGTTGGCCGTTAGGTGCTTTGAGATTACGATTTGTGATCAAAACTTAACAGATAGGGGAAAGCAGCCTTCATTGTTTGCCTCTTTGTCTGGGGTAAAAAGGTAAGTGAATTTGAAGCGTCAAAATAAGCGCACTCGCAGATCTTTGATTGAGGTAAACCCTGGGTAAGAACAGAACATCCCGGCTGTCAGATCAGGATTACTATGAGGCTTTGCGACGAAGCGAACTGGAGACGACATGACACTGGGGCGTCGTGTAACCCGGCTATTTTCCAGAGATGCGAAATGGAGAGAACATCGTGTTCCGTGAGGACCACGAAGTCTGGACTCTAAGGTGCAATTGCCGATTACAAACCGTGACAGATAATGTCAAACGCAAAATGAAAAATCCCAGCGGATAAGGCAGATGTGGAGACAATGTTCTAGATATACGGTTATTAGGGTATGCAATGTATCTATAACAATATCCTTGACAGCGAGCAATGCATATCCAGATTCCCAAAGCTATTGAGAAGGCTGCTCGGAAGGGGTAAATAAAGCAGAAAGCCAAATGAGTCGGCGCCTAAATAAAGGTGCCGTCTTTTATCATTCAAACGGACAGATAAGTTAATGACTTAACGTCGAGTGACAGATTATTCCGAGGGAAGGCACACGTTGAAGCAATGAAGGGAGAGCGTTTAGCATGGGGGACGTTGAGAAGGAAAACTTACAAGGATAGAGAACAGAATTTTGAGTGGGATTTGCTTATCATTGATGCTGAAAAGTAAATGGAAGACAGCTCGTAGGCCTCTAGTCTATGGGAATTCAAGCTCACTTACCCATATCCGTTAGGGCACAAGTACTTGCGTTTGCCCACACTAATATTTGTTGTAATAGAATAACTTTAGACATTTTAACTTTATAGCAGTTAGACTCGTTCAGTGAACCGACAGCATTACTCAAAATTGGTAAGTACAAGCATTCTATGACGTCTGACGTTATGTTTGGGAAGGTGATAATTTTAAGAAATAAATCCGTAAATTTGGGCAGCTTCGTCTGTTATTTTGCCGGTGTACGGGGATAGAACAAGATTGTTAGTGCAAATCCAACCCAAACCCTTGATTTTGGAGTAGTCGGTTATACGGATGCCTTGAGGCAGTATAGGACAGAATAATTTGCTCAGAGGAACGTTTCCTGCTAAAAATGCAATGCCTATGCAATACATTACACCTATGTGATCGTTTCTCCAGTGATCCATTAGAGTATAAATTCAAAGCTTTATGTAGACAAAGCTCTTTTCTCCAGCAATCATGTCCCCTTTTCCCGTAAATAAGGGGTCGGAAAATTTTGGAAGTGCAACGGTTCACTGGAGAGCCATTATGGCGCGGAAGCATGCCGAGCTTCAATGGTAGAGGGGAATGCTATTTTGAGAGCTTCAAAATTACTAGGAGCCATTGAAACAGGATTTTGCAGGATTTTAATGCAAACCATGTGGGAACATAGTTTAGGAAGCGGACTGACGGTTTCTGAAACGGGGTTTATAAAATAGCTGGACGTAGACTTTGGAGAAATCTTGCAAATTTCCAAGGTGAGCAAGGTTTCCAGCTCAGCTTTACACGTGCATCCTAGTTGTTGCCAACCATTAGGCCTTGGTGAGAATTAATAATTCAAAGAGGCAAAGACTTACTTCGGATCATTTATTCCTTATTGAGTGGTACGGTTGAGCCCAATTTAAGTGACCGGTCATGGGAAGGTGAGGAACTTGTGATCGATTCGGACTGTAGAGGTAATTGATAATTGCTAAGAAGACGCTGCATCCCAGTTGAATTTGGGACACCCTATGTACGATATTACCATTTGGGAGAAGCCGCAAGGAAGCGATATCACTATTAAAACCCGAAATTCCCGCGATATCCAAATTCCGTCAGGTCAGCGAACTCACTGTCAGCCATAAACATCTAGCTATCTGGAGAGCTCTGCCAAAATTATTTGGTGTAGAGAGTTCGACCTCTAATGCAGAGTTTCGGGTAAAGTTTGTGAACCAAAAACGCGACCGCAATACAACTGATTCTAGAAGGTTGATCGTAACCACGGGCTGTTCACATGGCGAGGGAGGTAAAAGTGAAACCAAGAAGTTTGAATTCGCGATAACAACCGGTGCATACCTTTTGCAATTTACTGGGTCCTCACGCGAATAGAGCAAGGGGGTAATAATCGAATATACAAGCCCATGCTTTTACTATTAAATGCCCACTTATCCGATTTTTGTAATGTTAGGCCTAGGTTTAAGGGTTAAGTTATAAAAGAAGCTAGGGTTGGGGTTAGGGGCAAGTTCGCTCACTGCATACTGTCCTACTTAATCCGGCCTTCTTTAACCAATAACCTTGGATTGCCTGTTTTCCACCAGTCTCCTTGCCCCCTAATTCGCATCTTTTAAATTGTGAGGTCTGATCTGGTAATAGAAAAATCATGTTGCAGAAATGCTAGTTTTCTCA